AGTTTCTAGTTCACACTTCAAAACTCGAAGCTAAATATATATTTGTAGATAGTAATTAAAAATAAATGGCTAGTTCATTTTTAGATTTAACTAACAATAAACATAAAAAAATCAAGAAAATTGAATTTTTGGAGGAATTAACAAAAAAAGATCAAGAATTTGTGCACTAAGTAAAAAGACTTTTTTGTTGTGATTCATTTAACAAAATTAAAAAGTATTTAAAAATAAATTAACTTAACTATTTAAAAGATTTTCTTTAACATTTAATCATTTTGTCACTTTTTAGAATCAAAAGTAATTGTTATTGCTGTTGCCAAAGAGTTTGATTTAACACGTGCTCATAAGGTTTGTACAGCATATCAAAATATTAGTATTAAAAAAGGCAACAAAGATGATTATAAAAGTGATTCATGTAAATATAAAAAGAATCATTTTGAGACTTTAATTCAGGTGCATTGATAACCTTGATTTTTTGCCTCTAAAATGAATAGCTTATAAAAACAAGGTCAGTTATGCAAAAAGAAATATGAATAAGATCCATAATGCAGCCATTTTTTAAAACGCCTTAAAATACTTTTTACATAATTTGAGAAAAATGCAATTAAAAGAAAAAAGTAATAGGAGTTCAAATTCTAACTTTAAAATTCTTTTAAAGTTTGGATTTTAATAACTTTTTTTTATAATTCTTCATAAACATTTATTCAATAACATTTTTTATGGACATCTTAATAAGCTTACTTTGTAAATTTTATTTCTTAATAAACTTACTTTGAAATAAAATTTTATGTTTTATTTATCTTAAGGAGTTTTGAAGAACAGCTGCAGCACATTACAATCAAAGTAAAAATAGCAATTGTTTTTGGATTTTTTCTGGATTTCTCTGGTTAATAAATGATGAACCAAAAACAAAAGAACTGTATTTTAAAAGTAAACAATACTTGAACTCACTAATGCAATTAATTAAAGCTAAGTTTGGTTCCTGAAAGTTAGAACATTACTTGTACACAAAACTAGTGATCTGCTTCCCTAAGAATGATAAAAACTGCAAATAAATTCATGGCATAATGGCAGAACTGTTTAAAGAAGAAGATCTATCAGTGAGAAAGTAAAAAATCAAAGTCATGAATTCTACCAATAAAATAATAACTTTTTGAATGTGTTTATGGAAGAAACATTATGCTTTAATCCAAGTTGATGGTAAATCACGTTGTTTTTCAAAAAAGACTAGTTAATATAAAAGAACTTTATTTAGAGTTCACTAAAATTTCCTTTGATGTCAAGATTGAGTATTTTAAGTTTTGTGAACCTAGACCAAAGTGGTGTATTCCTGTTGGAGGTGCGTATACGTTGTATACGGGTATATGAAATAAGAAACAAAGCTAAACTAGAAAAAAATCTTAACAAAGAGAAAATTAAAAGTGAAAAAACCATAAACTGAAAAGAGAAACAAAATCTTATCGAATAATAAAACAATTAAAAGATAAACCAGTAAAAAAAAAAAAAAATTAAGATATTTTTTAAATTTAGAAGCATCTCAATTAAGAGTTCAATCTTGATAATTAATTCAAAATTGTCTCAATTGTTCAAAGTTTTCATTTCATTACGTTACTGTAGCGATTAGGCCAATTACATGTTATATTCATGTTATACTGTTGTGATTAAGTCAATTACATGTTATATTGGCAAATTAACAAATAATTTAATATTTTAATGTTTTATTTGCTATTAGACAATAGAAAATATCAAAGTTTCAAATTTTTAAATAATTATGTTTTGAAGTAACTATTAAGCTTGAATTAAATAACTTTAAAACTTCGATCTTTTCTAAATTTCATGAGAAATTTAGAAAAGTGAAACACTTTTAAATTAAAATAAATGCATTAATTTTACGCATTTATTTTTTCTGATTTATCTTTTATTTATTTTATCATTTGTTAAGATTTTTTTCTAGTTTAGCTTTGTTTCTTATTTCATATACCCGTATACAACGTATACAAATTGGCAACGAAGATAAATTTGTTGCATTACATAGCGGTTTAATTATTGGTGATTTGATTTAATGGAGTTAATATGGTAACTATTATGAGTAGTACAAATTAATTATTACGTTAATTTTCTTTGATGTTCACATTTTAACATTTTTACATTTTTATTTATTTTTAAATTCAAAATCTTAATAAATACAAGTTTGAAAAAATATATATATATATATATATATATATATATATATATATATATATATATATATATATATATATATATAAAGTATTTTTATACTTGCATTTATATATGTACTATATGTATATATTTCATTGTGATAACGGCAATACTTTTTTTTTTTGTTATTTATATTCTTGTTTTGAAGGAGCGTGGCAATAAGACTGAATTTGTCTTCTTCTTGCCCCAGCCGTGTATATACAATTTATTCAAGTCTTATTTTGTAAATATTTTCTTTATGGCAAAATACATAATAATAATCTTAGAAAGTCTTGTTTCCTTTTATAGTATAGCTTATATATATTTTATAGATTTTTTCTTTTTTCAGTTTATGGTTTGTTTATTTAAAAAAAAATCATTTTTTTGCAAGTTTTGAAAAAAAAACTTTTTAAAACTTGCAAAGAGCCGTGCCCAAGTTTTCAAAACAAAATATTATATGCTTAGTCATAAGGCATACAACCCACGCATTTCCTGAGAAGGAAATATAAAAGAAGCATACTATTTCCTGAAAATGAAATAGTATCCGTTTGTAAGTACCACCAGAGTGCAAAACCTTCAGCATTAAAAATAACAGATATTTCAGACTATAAAGATCTACATTAGATGTACATTAGATGTTACATTAGATCTACATTAGATGTATGTAACTTAACAAATTGAAACTGCATGTTGTACTGTTGTAATAACTTCCCAGAGATACCAACAAATTAAAATCTTACTACTTTGTTGGATAAAAACAGCAATAAAAAAATTATATTTAGTTTGTGCAAAAAGCCAACAAAAAACAATATAAAATTTTAGTAACTCTTCCGGAAGATAATTTTATTGTAAAAGCAGAACAAGATTTTATTGTCAACAGACCAATTAAGAGAAGAACATGCAGCATCTAAAAGTAAAATTTTCAAGTAATAATAATTTAATATTACTAGACTTTGTTGAAAATTACTGTTCAAGTTAATTCAAGATTTAGTTCAAGGTTTCCATTAGATAATCCACAATTTCCTCTTCTTGTTTGACAATAGTCAAACAGCAGATGAAATTGTGAATGTTAAGAAGTAAACAGAAAGTATCAGGCGTCCATAATTTCTTAATGAGTTGTATCTTATCAGAATCTTCTAAAAATTAGAACTTCTACCTTTTATAGAAGCATTTTTTTTTTCTTTTTACTTCTTAAAAAGCTTTTGTTTTTTCACCCATCAAAAACAAATTTTATATTTGCAAATGATTTTTTAGAACCATTTTAGATGAAAGTAGTAGTGTTAGTATTTAAACTGTAACTGTATTAACAGCAAGTGAGGTAAAACTCACTTTGACAGCTTTTGACAATTTATAAATATTAAATAATTTACTGAAAAAATAATGAAAAGTTATTTTTTTAATGCTAAATCTTGTCTTTAATTTTAATTTAAATTTGAAACTGTTTACATTTCTTGAATTGACGACTTCCAATAGCAATGTGTTCCATAAAATATCTGTTCTGTTTATTACGAATTCATGTCTTGGTATGAGCTTGGTTTGTTCTTTGCTTTGTTTTTTATAGTGACCTCAGCATGATTTTGAGAATGCTGGATTGCTTAAAAGTTCTACTGTTTCAATCTAATTGAAAGTCTTAAAAGATGGCATTAAAAAAATTATTGTTAACATTTTACTAAAGTCTAGAGTTGTATATAATAAAAAAAGTCAAAAGTTTCCTGAAAGTTTTTAAAATATATAGCTTTAACTTATAAACAAAACATATTTTTGCTGAAAACCTTTTATGCAGGAATTTTTAGGAATTGCTTTTCTCATTGATATTAACCAACTCATTAAGTTTCATCAAAAAAAGAAGGCAAAAGAAAAGTAAAAATAAAATAAAATTTTAATTCATTTATTTAAAAAAATTTTTCTGTTTTTTTTTTCAGGTGAATGCTCATTTTATTGTGGTAAAAGATTTAAAACACCAAATATTTTACAATCATTTGTATTTTTTTAATCTTTGTAGATTCAATAATAACTTCTATTGCATTATACAGCAATATCTATTTTACAATTATGTGCCACTTACAATAAAACTAAATTATTTATTAACTAAACTTACATTGAGCCTGTACGGCATTGACTCGAAAAATTTTGATGTTGCTGAAACTCTCTTTGTATCTGTGGAAAAACCATGAGACAAACTAAAATATCAAATATCTAGGATAAAAAGTAAGAATGAAAAAAGCACTCAAAAATAACTAAAAGCACTTACTGGCCTCCATGTGGTAAATCAAGTCCCATTATTCGATCATGAGGATTTAAAAGACCGGTGTAAATAGCAAAATTTGCTGGTGCCCCTATTTTTCATAAAAATATTGACATTTTTTTTTAAATTATTTTTAATATATATATATATATATATATATATATATATATATATATATATATATATATATATATATATATATATATATATATATATATAAAACCCTTGGAATTTGGGTCGGCATTCGGCATTGCCGACCTAACTGCCAACCTGAAAGTGTTTTAGGACAGCAAAAAATTGCCGACATGGTTTCTATGTTTTATGGTCACACCTTTGTATCAAATAATTTTTGCCGACGTCTAAAAGATTGAGGTCGGCAAATTATTGCCAACCTCATTTTTCTTAATTCTGAGGGTTGTATATATATATATATATATATATATATATATATATATATATATATATATATATATATATATATATATATATATATATATATATATATATATATATATATATAAAGAAAATTTTTTAAAATAACAATTAAAATGAAAAACATTTACCCGAGTAAACTTGTACGTTTACACCCCATTTTTCAGAATCAAGATGAAAAGCTTTCAATGCTCTTTGTTGTACAAGTCTTTCGATATCATCAATAACATCATTCCCACCATAATATCTGAGAATATGATCATAAGATTTCATAAACAGATGCATCTAAAGAAAATACATACATAAAATGCATGTATTTCTTTTAGATGTAGAAATCATATAAATTACTAACCTAGCACCTGGATAGCCTTCTGAATATTTATTGTTTAAACAACTTCCTAATGCTTGCAAAGCTGCTTTACTGCAAAAATTCTAAAATTAATAATAATACAATTAAATCAAAAGCTACAAAAGCTTTATTCAAAATATTTAAACATTTTAAATCTTTACAAAAAAATTATAATAATAAAAGAATTTATAAAACCTAAATAGCTAAATTCTATCTGATTCTGAAGTAAATGAAAAGGTTGTTTATGTTTTTAAATTTTAGTTTTATAAAATTTTTTGTTTATTTGTTACAAATATGTTTTTGACAAATGGCGCGCAAATACCATGCAAGAATATACAAACAGTATATTTTTCAATAACTTTTTCCAGATTTAAATAATTGTTGCTTTGTTTTAAAAAAATTAGTTTGTACTCTGATAGTTTGAATGGATTCTTGAGTATGGAAAATGTTTTATAACTTTTAAGAATTATTTGGATAATTAGAAATTTTTGAATATTATTTTAAATAACTTTTTAAATAATTTAAATTAATTTATTTAAATATACACAAACACGCACGCACGTGTGCGCACACACACACACACACAAACACGCACGCACACACAAACACACACATAGTGTTCAAAGTAAGGAGAGTAAAAGTATTGGATGGTTTTCAGTAATTTTAAAATACCACTTCCAAAAAAGAAATAATATTAATTCTAAATACTTAAAATATTTTGCCCACCTCAGAAGCAATTAATTCTAAACCTTCTGTTTGTCTCTTTTTTTCTTTTTGAATCAACTTAAACATTTCAGGATCATCAACATCCAATGATTCTTTTCCTGTCCATGCATTTAAAATATTTGATGTAGAAAAATGAACCATAGACAGCTTAATAAAATAATAACATATATTAATATAACCATAGATAGCTTGTAATAACATTGTAAAATAACAATAAGATTTAAAATGAAAACTTTAAATAAAAAACGAGCAGCCCCCCTTGACAATATTGAAGCCTATGGAGAGTTCAATAATATAAACACTGTAATGTCACACTGTAATGTCAATGCAATAGCCTGCTGCAAGGGGCTTCAGTACATATATCAACATATATATGTATATATATATATATATATATATATATATATATATATATATATAAATATAAACATATATATATATATATATATATATATATATATATATATATATATATATATATATATATATATATATATATATATATACTGATATAAATCCTGATAATATATATATATATATATATATATATATATATATATATATATATATATATATATATATATCAGGGTGTAAACTAGGTCTTTGGAGTATAAATGTTACAGTATTTTTTATTTGGAGTAGAAAAAGAAAGAAGAAAATAAAAAGACCCTACAAAACCCCCTATAACATATTACTAGTTTCGTTACGCCTCAATCAGTTATAATTGGTAACAAGGTTACATTCTCTTATTTTAAATTAAATATTAATTAAATAAACATGATAACTCAGTAAATGTTTGTTTATCATTGCTGTATTGCTAATTACCATATTTACTTTGTTTTTTAATGTAAAATAGCTTCATCTCAACTGGTTACTTTGTCACGAAAAATAAATAAAGTTTCAATTTTTAACATTACGTCTTAATTAACTTTTTTTTTTAACTTTTAAAAGTGTAACCAATTGAGACGTAACGTAAAAAAAGGCACAAATAAAATATGTCTCAAATACAGATTTTTTTTTACATTACGTTTCAATTGGTAAAACTTTTGAAAGTTTCAAAAAAACATAATGTAAGGTAAAATAAAATCTATATTTGTTATGTATTTTAATTATGCCTCAAATGTGAGACATCAATTCGCAATGTTACATCTCAGCTGGCTTTTTTTTTAACTTTTAAAGTGTAACCAATTTAGACGTAACGTAACGTAAAAAAAAGGCGCAATTAAATTACGTCTTAAATGCAGAATTTTAAAAAACTAATTAATTCTAGCGTGGATTGTGGCCCCTATAACATTTTAAAGTTACGCTATGTATTGTAATGTAAACGGGATTCGTTGCGTTACGTGCAAAATGTCCATTATTTTTACATAACCGAGACTTAACATTGTAACATAACGCTACATGAAAAATGTAGATAACAACATGTAACAATTTGACCTAATAACACGTAATATTATATCTATATTATCTACCAATATAACTTTTTTCCTGTTCTTTCATATGTTCATTTAGATATATTGAGAGAGAGCTACTATATAGAGAGAGCTATATAGAGAGAGCTATATAAAGAGAGAGATCTATATAAAAAGAAAGAGCTATATAAAGAGAGAAAAAATAAGAGAGAAAAATATGAAGTCAAAGAGAGTAGACATATATTACTCAGAAAATGCAAGTTATACACACTATTAGCTTTAGCTAATTAGTGTAATACAATATATAATTTCATAAGAAAGTTTGACATTTTATATACATTTTTGATTGTGGGTTTATAAAAACTCTTAAAGTAATATGCTTGTATTAATGACAAAAAAAAAACGTAATGTAACATAACCAAATCTAAATATGAGACGTAGTTAAATTACGTCTTAAATATAGATTTTTTTCAGTTTTAGTCTAAACTTTTTAAAAAATGCATATTATTACTTTTTAACTTATTTTAACTTATAAAAGTGCGAATTGAAACTTTTTATTTCGCGACAAACTAATTTTTTTTTTTATTTGCATTCACTCCCAACAAGGCTGCAAGCAACCACTATTAAGTTGGGAGTTACTAGGAAAAAAAAGAACAGAGTTATAGAGCAAGGAAACGGTTGACAGAAGGCTTGAAAAGTTGAAGGTTGTATGAGTCAGGAAAACATGAAGATGGGAGAGAGTTCCAAATGATTTAAGTGCGGGGAAAAAAACTAGATGAATAAAAGTTTTTAGAGCATGCAGGGACAGATACAGTAAACGAATGAGACTTAGCTGAATGACGAGTAAAACGATAATGAATTTTAGTTGATGGAACTAGAGATGATAACTCCTTTGAGCAGTGACCATGATAGTATGTGTAGAAAAGAGAAAGAGATGCAACTTTACAATGATGGGAAAGAGGTTCAAGCTTAGCAGATAGTCCAGGTCCAACAACATTTACAATGCGTTTTTGGACCTTGTCAAGAAGAGAAAGTGAATCGTTAGAAGAAGCAGCCCAAATATGACAACAGTATTCCATACAGGGACGAATAAGAGATTTGTAGAGGTAGAGAATGAAATCAGAAGTAAGGAAATGGCAAGCACGATAAAGAGAAGCAACCTTAGCAGAAGCTAATTTAGCAATCGATTGTATATATGGTTTCCATGAAAGGTCAGTAGTAAGCGATAATCCAAGAAGACGTAAAGAGGAGGGCTCAGTCAGAGGATTGCCATTCATTAATATAGGAATGTTGACCATATTACGGTAGTTGTTTGCAGTAAGCAACTGGGTTTTTTTAGAGTTGAAATTCACAAGCCACTGTGAACCCCAATCTATTACTGAAGTGAGATCGGATTCAAGATCAGCTGCTTGTTCTAGGCGATCGAAAAGAGAAGACTTTTTGTCAAGACAGGAGTATAAAGTTGAGTCATCAGCAAAAAGAGCTACTTTAGATGAAAGGTTGTCAGGAAGATCGTTTATGTAGATAAGAAGCAAAACAGGGCCCAGGATGGAACCTTGGGGAACCCCAGAAGTTACTGGAAATAAAGAAGAGAGTTGGCCTTCAAGGATGAATTTAATAAACCGGTTAGAAAGAAATGATTTGATAATCTCAAAAACTTTCCCAGAAACACCATATGAAGCAAGCTTATGGAGAAGACCAGCATGCCAAACTTTGTCGAAAGCTTTAGATATTTCAAGAGCAATAGCCCTAGCCTCACCGCCTCCATCTAATGCACAATAAAATCTTTCAGTTACAACAGTTAGCAAGTCGGCCGTAGAGCGAGAGGATCGAAAACCGTATTGATTGTCTGACAGCAGTTTATTTGACTCAAGATGAGATGTGAGGAATTTGTTGATCAAAGACTCAAAGACCTTGCTAATAACAGAAAGAAGACTGATCGGACGATAATTGGAGGGTCAGAATTTTCTCCAGAGTTTTTGAATATTGGAACCACAGATGCCATTTTCCAACAAGCAGGAAAACAAGACTCAGTCAAACACTTGTTAAATAGTTTAGAGAGAATTGAAGAAAGTTCTGGAGAACAATTATGCAAGACTGGGACAGGAATGTTGTCTGGACCACAAGCTGTAGACGAGTTTAATTGAGATATGACTTTAGCAACAGAAGCTGGAAAGATTTGAATGTCTAACAATGGGTCAACCTGTTTGACTGGAATGGAAGGAAGAGAATGTCCATAAGATTCAAGAGTGGAATTAGAAGAAAAGTTCTTTGAAAATAGTTCTGCCTTATCCTTGGGAGAGGTAATAAGATCAGTCCCATGAATGAGAGATGGAATGTTAGATCTACCCTTGTTAATAATGCTGTTGAAGATTTTCCAAAAGTCTTTAGAGCCTAACTTCTGCGATAAGATGCGAGATTTAGTGAACTGAGAATAATGGAGTTTAGCATCAGAAAGCATCTTTTTACATCAATTTCTTGCAATAATAAATAGATGTTTGTTCTCAAGAGAGTTGTTCTTTTGAAAAAGATGAAAAAAATGATTACGATTGGATATAGCAGCCGCACAAGAAGGAGAAAACCATGGAGTATAATGAGGCTTGACTTGAAACCGACGCGAAGGAATAAAAGCTTCCATTCCAGCCTGAATCCAGGAGGTGACATAGGAGGCGCATTTGTCAGCTGAGAGAGAAAAAACATCATACCAAGGATCATCACGAAGAAAATCACAAAAGGAATCCCAGTCATCTTTAGGGTAGTAGTAGGTGGTGCGATGATAAGGTGAGCCCAAAAAAGATGTACAAGAAGAAAGATTTATAGAGATCATTGCATGGTCAGAACCACCTAAGGGAGAAAAGGGAGAAACTGAACATAAGCTAGGGTCAGAGACAAGACATAAGTCAAGGAGTGAAGGTAAATGATTAGGGTTGTCAGGAAAACAAGTCACAAAGTTAACTATCTGAGTAAGAGATTGAGAAACGCAGAAGTTAAAGGCTTTAGTGCCAGCAGGATCAGTGGTGTTAGTGCCAAGCCATTCAGTGTGATGGGCATTAAAATCACCAACAACAACAATATTGGCAGAGGGGTAAAGAGAGAGGGCATGGTCAATTTGATCAGAGATAACATCTAAAAGAGTGCAATCATGGGAAGATGGAGAACGATAAAGAACAAAGAGAAAGGTGATAGAGTGAAGCATATAAAAGAATGGTCAAAGGATTTGAACCTGATTTCGCGACAAATAGGGGAATTAATGCGTATGTGTACCCCTAAACCTAGCATGTGACTATTTGAGTCTTTACGAATCAAAGGATAGCACCCATCAACACTGACATCTGAAGAAGGAATTGTAAAATTTAAATTTGTTTCACTGAGTGCAAGCATGTCTGGTGAATTTTGCAGGAGGTAAGACTCAACTGATGGAAAGTTGCATCGTAGACCATGAATATTTGTAAAAGATATATTAAAATATTTATGTGGTGGGGATGGTTTTTTAGGTTTTAAATTTTTGGTTACTTAGGTCATGATTTGGGTTTAATGAGAACTTGACTCATTCATAGATAGAGCACAGCCTCCTAATCAATGAGCTATGCAGTTGTCTCAGTCCTGTTAAATAACCCTAAGCCGTGACATAGGGCTCCTTATGTGGCCTTGACAATGCACACCAAAAGCATTAACAGGGACACCACCCATGCGCAACATGGCACTGTTAATACTCTGATATTTTGCAGCTGTTGATGGAATCAGCCTCTCTGAGAGCTACCACAGAGTTCGGGAAACCTTACTACCAGCCGGCCTCAGAACCATTAAACTGAGTTTTAGAGCTGTACCCTCATATGGAGATAACAGGAAGAGTTGCATAGCCATTATCAAGGAGGTATAAGCAAAATTCTATGAGTAGAGTCAAGGAGATCCAGCATTCATCATCCTAGGCAGGAAACAATGTAACACAGGTTACATCTACGCCAGCCTAATAGATGAAGAAGGGGTTCGAGGCTGGTTAGCAGAATTTTTCTGCTTACCTCTAAAATCTTTGCCTAGGAGGCCTTCTACAAGACAGTAGCTGGATGCAGTTAACATCTGCCCAAGATGAGTATTTTTATCGAGACACCATCTCTAGCCTTTACTCAACCAAGAGCCCCAAGGCAGGGGAATTTTTAGTCAGAGTTTATGTCTCCTAGCTTTTGCCTGAGAAGAGCACACTCTGCAAGGCAGCAGGGCTTGTGGCAGGTGGTACTGGGTTAGGTGATACCAGTAGCAAGATTGATCTCGATTATCCTGACCTAACCAGGAGTAGTTAAAAGGAGTTACTTCCCGCAACAGTACTTTGAGAAAACCAGGCATGACATTTTGGAAGTGCATTAGGAAAAACACTGAATCTAACAAAATACAGGAGTCTAAGGTGAGTGTAGGTTTTGTAGTTGGAGTAAGTAGTTAGTTACTGAGCTCACACTGCATTAGAGTATAAACAGAACACAAACAAACATAAATCAACTTACGGGTGAGTCAACACCGCGCCAGAGGTTCAGACGGAACACAAACATACATAAAAAACATAATTACACGTAATAAAAAATTAATTACATGTAATTAAAAAAAATTTAAAAATTAACCCACGCTTGTTGGTTAGCTTTTAAAAAAGACTTTTTTTTTTAGGTCAACCAATTGAGGCATAACGTAATGTTAAAAAAATCAATGTTTGAAACGTATTTTAGTTATGCCTCAAATCTAGATTTAGTTACGTTACGTTAAGAATTTTTGGTTACACTTTAAAAAGTTGAAAAAAAAAAGCAATTGAGACGTAACATTGCAAATTGAAACTTTATCATTTTTTGTGACAATGTAACTAATTGAGACAAAGCTATTTAACAATAAAAATAAAATAAAAGATAATATCTAGCAATACAGCAATATAAAACAAACATTTACTGCATTATCAAGTTTATTTATTTAATATTTTTGTTACCAATTGTAACCGATTAAGACATAAAGTAACTTTAAAATGTTATAGGGGTGGTCAAATGCGCATTTTGCTAACAGCTGTTTTTTCATAATTTCAATAGGATTTATTAGCTAATAAAAAATTTTTAACTTTGGTGAAAAAATTTAAATGTCGACGATTTTTAAAGCTGTTTACACTGAAACTTGGATTTTTAAAGCTGTTTACACTGAAACTGAAATTTTCGTTTAACTATATATTATTGAATTAATGACTTTCTTATTTTAAGGCCAATTTTTACAGAATTTTCTTTTTTAGTCTTGAAATTTAATTTTTGTGTTGATAACAAGTAAAAGTTATTAAATGTAGGAGGAGGGGTCTTAATAAGTTTAGAGTGAGTAGGAAAATTTTCCAAAAATTATTAAACGCGGTCTCCCTGCAATTGTATAAATGAAAATACAATATATTAATCTGAAAATTACTAAATATATTATACTTAATGATTTTAAGATTTAATAAAGATTGTTTAAGGATCGCTAATCAGATTTTTTCTGAAAGTAATGTGGGAGATAATGCCTATTAAAAAATAGGCATTTAGCCGGGTGATGTTTACTTTTTATGGTCTTTATGTTTCTAGATTTTAATTGACGCAATTTTTTGAACATACGAAAATTAGATTTTTTAACTAACCCGAACATTCTATTTAAATAACTAAATAGTAAATTTACTATTTAATTCTTTAAATAGTAAAGGTAGGGTTAGTTAAAAAACTCTGCCAGATTTAATAATAAAAAAATTAAAGCGCTTTAAATTATTATTATTTTTTGTATAAAAAAAAGTTTAATGTTCATTTTCCATTGGTGACTTTGTCACAAAAATATTCTTTTTGCGCTTTTAAAAATTTAATAAACCCACAAACAAAAATATATATAAAGTGTTTTTTTTTATTTTTTTATTTGCATTCACTCCCAACAAGTTTTACAACATTAAGTTGGGAATTACTAGGAAAAAAAAAAAGAACAGAGTTATAGAGCAAGGAAACGGTTGACAGAAGACTTGAAAAGTTGAAGGTTGTATGAGTCAGGAAAACATGAAGATGGGAGAGAGTTCCAAAGGATTGAAGTGCGGGGAAAAAAACTAGATGAATAAAAGTTTTTAGAGCATGCAGAGACAGATACAGTAAACGAATGAGACTTAGCTGAATGACGAGTAAAACGATAATGAATTTTAGTTGATGGAACTAGAGATGATAACTCCTTTGAGCAGTGACCATGATAGTATGTGTAGAAAAGAGAAAGAGATGCAACTTTACAATGATGGGAAAGAGGTTCAAGCTTAGCAGATAGTCCAGGTCCAACAACATTTACAATGCGTTTTTGGACCTTGTCAAGAAGAGAAAGTGAATCGTTAGAAGAACCAGCCCAAATATGACAACAGTATTCCATACAGGGACGAATAAGAGATTTGTAGAGGTAGAGAATGAAATCAGAAGTAAGGAAATGGCAAGCACGATAAAGAGAAGCAACCTTAGCAGAAGCTAATTTAGCAATCGATTGTATATATGGTTTCCATGAAAGGTCAGTAGTAAGCGATAATCCAAGAAGACGTAAAGAGGAGGGCTCAGTCAGAGGATTGCCATTCATTAATATAGAAATGTTGACCATATTACGGTAGTTGTTTGCAGTAAGCAACTGGGTTTTTTTAGAGTTGAAATTCACAAGCCACTGTGAACCCCAATCTATTACTGAAGTGAGATCGGATTCAAGATCAGCTGCTTGTTCTAGGCGATCGAAATAAAAAGACTTTTTGTCAAGACAGGAGTATAAAGTTGAGTCATCAGCAAAAAGAGCTACTTTAGATGAAAGGTTGTCAGGAAGATCGTTTATGTAGATAAGAAACAAAACAGGGCCCAGGATGGAACCTTGGGGAACCCCAGAAGTTACTGGAAATAAAGAAGAGTGTTGGCCTTCAAGGATGACTTTAATAAACCGGTTAGAAAGAAATGATTTGATAATCTCTTATGGAGATAAAAGCTTATGGAGAAGACCAGCATGCCAAACTTTGTCGAAAGCTTTAGATATGTCGAGAGCAATAGCCCTATGTTCAGATGTCAGTGTTGATGGGTTGCTAACTGTTGTAACTGAACACAAACATACATAAAAAACATAACTTACGGGTGAGCGAACACTGCGCCAGAGGTTTAGACAGAACACAAACATACATAAAAAAACATAAAAAACATAAACATAAACATGAAGTAACTTACGGGTGAGCGAACACCGCGCCAGAGGTTCAGACAGAACACAAACATACATATAACTTAGATTACAGGTGAGCTAATACAGTAACTAAGGCACCTCCAACTATATGGAAAAAAAAAAAAAATTACTATAGGCATGACTGATATAAGATAGTACTGATGACAGGAAGAACACTCCTTCCAGCCTTTGCTTAGATAGCAAATCCTGCAAGGCAGCAGAACATGGAACAGGTTGCAATGGGTTACATGTTACCAGTAGCAGGATGATCATGAAGACCATACTCCTGACCTGACATATAAAGTATATATAAAGTGTTATGGTCAGTGTATCAAGAAATTTCAATAAAAATAAAATTTGTTTAATCTACCATTGTGTTTATAACTTGTTATTTGTATTGCTTGATTAGTATTTTTTTGACTATTGATATATCTACTTTTATTACTAATGTATTAATTTTGTTATTACTTTTATTACTAATGTATTTTATTGCTAATGTAATTTTACAAATATCTATGTTATATTTACACTCTACTTCAAATATTTATTTATATTTACATATGCTTATATATATTTTCATTTACTTATACATGAAGATATTTATATATATAATAAACAAAAAATTATAAGATATTAAGGAACCACATGTTAAATGTTACATCTCATAAGGTTAAAAATGTTACTTTTTGTTATGTAAAAATAACAAACATTTGATACATAAAATTGTTGTATCAAATGTCTATTATTTTTACATCTTATAGGTAAACATGTTATATAACAATTTCATAACATTACGTCTCATTACTTAAAAATGTTACGTTTCGTCACATATGATTAATGGACATTTTGCACGTATTGCAAACTGGTTTCGTTTTGTAACTAAACTTAAAAATGTTATAAGGAGCACATTTTAATCTTGGCGGGGAAGTTGGGAGGGGAGTGGTGAGGAGGGAGTGGGGAGATTGGAAAATATTTTGACAAATTCAAAATTTTGTCAAAACGCTGTATCAAATTTATTCCTAGTTCACACCCTATATATATATATATATATATATATATATATATATATATATATATATATATATATATATATATATATATATATATATATATATATATATATAATAAAATATAATACTAAGCAATAATAAAATAGTAGATAATCACTTATCAAACTTTTTTCATTTTACACTGTGTTTCATCATTAAGACACATCAGAAATGAATAATTCATTTCTGAGTAATGAATCGATGTATGTATGTGTGTGTGTGTATATGTGTGTGTGTATGTGTGTGTGTGTGTGTGTGTGTGTGTGTGTGTGTGTGTGTGTGTGTGTGTGTGTGTGTGTGTGTGTGTGTGTGTGTGTGTGTGTATGTACAAGAAACAATTCTTTAATAATAAGGTTTTAAACTTACAATTTTACAAGGTTGCATAACACATCTTTTTATAGAAAAATGAATAGCCATTTTATATCAGTTTTATTTCCTCAATAATAAAAGGAGAATTTTGTTTGAATACAAAATAAATAATCAACATTAACTACAATAATGATAATAGTAATAATAATAGCAATAATATTAATAATGATAATAATAAGAAGGAGAAGAAAAAGAATAAAAACAATATATTTTGCCAAGAAAAAATGGTTGGCACAACATCTTGTAATTATATTAGGAAAGCAATTTATTAGGAGTCACTTAAAACCTAACTTTGTTATTATTTAAAATGTTTAAAATATTTTTTAATATTCAAAACATTTTAAATAATTACAAAAACGCATTATTTTAAATTAAACTTTGAAAAATATAATAATAAAGATAATTCTATTTTGAGATGTTTGAGGTGGCGATAATTTATTAATACATTTAAAACATACAATATTTTTTTTATATATATCGGAACACACACATACACTAAAATGACAAAATGGGAAAGAGAAAACAGCATTAAAATAAAACAAATTGTAAAAACATTATAAGGAAAAAAATATCAAATACATACACTATACAGCTTTTGAGTTATTTTAACGGAAACGTAATTTTAGAATTTATGTTTACACTAATAGTATATATACTTTTCGATTAATGTTTTATGTTACATGTAGTACATGTAACATAAAACATTAATCGAAAAATACATGTGATGATACTACGAAAAAATACAAGCAGTACATGATGTACTGCTTAGATTTATACTTTAATTATTGGTGTGGGTGTTGATGATAGAAACACCCACAGGAATAAACCAAGACATACTTAAATTATATACTTAAATTAAATTTGTATTTATATTAAAATTATTATTAAACACCCACAGCAATAAATAAAGAATTTTTAATATAACCTCATAAGTTTTATAGTTAAAATATTATTTTTGATTTTAATGACTAGTAAATAAATATCGTATAATAAGTTATCTCGCTTAAAACGAATAATGTTTAATTTAAGTCACGCCTTATCTATACGCGATAAACGAAATCCGTACTCTTAATTTAGTACGAGGGTGTCCCATAAAACAATTAAAAGAAAAAATTAATGCTATGGAAGTTTTTATATGATTTCGCTTCTTTTGGAGATTCAGCATACTTTTGAAAAACTTTTTTTTTTTATAGTAATCGTGACACCTTCAATGTTCAAGGGTCCTGAGGATCTGTTAATATAATTATTATTTACAAATTTTTTAAATAATGTGTTAATTTAATATATAGAACACATTAAGAGGGCAAGAGAAGAATTTTTTTTAATTGTTATTTTGGGAAGCCTTTTTGATTACGTTATCAAACGGTTGGGGATTACGCAAAAGGTAGAGGGTAGTAAGTATAATGTTCGTTTTCACAAATTACGTTTATTTTTCTAAATTAGTACGAATATTAAATAGGTAAGAACGAGTTAGTTACTAAATATATTTTAATAAATAAAGTATTTTAAAGGAACTTAAAAGTAAAAAAGTTTCTAAAATTCGCTTGTAGTCTTGTTTCAAAAAGTATTGAAAGAGTATTTTGTTAAAAAACAAATCATATATGTTTTTATAACACACTTTAAATTTAAGTATATTTAGTAAGTGATTTAAGTATTAAGTAAGTAGTTTAAGTAAATAAATTATTTAAATCAAATAATGTATTTATAGTCTAATAAAATTAAAAGTTCAATTTTAGAAAGAAAAAAATTATTTTCAGTTTTTTGGATGAAGTTTCTTATTAATTATCACATTCCTTAAAAAGTCACATAAAAAGTTTTGCGAATTTTATAAAAACCGTGGTAGCTATTTTTATAGAATATAAGTTTTTAAACTTTTATGCAAAATAAATTTTGCTACATTTACGGTTTTGAGAATATCGTCTTTAATGACATATGTACAATGCCTAATTTATCTGTGATTTCGGTAAGGTAAACGACGTAAAATCTTTCGTTAAAAATGCGTGCGACTCTGTGACAATACCGTTAAGTCAACTTGGAGCGCCTTGTTAACTAGAATTTTACGTTCGACGCACTCACGCCGGCATAGGTTTTACGCAGGTTTACTCTGGTAAATGACAGTTAAATTACGCATAAATAATTTACTCATGCGTTATATATGTATAAATGAGTATACGTCAAAGGTAATGTTAACCACTTATATTAAGTATATCGTCATCACCAGAAAAAGACGATTATATGCGAAGATACACTTCTCTTGCTTAACGCGAGTTTTAAAAAAACACTAATTAGCATAAGTGAACCGTATTGTTTTTACGAATACTGACGTAACTGCAAACTTGTTTAGTGTGAACATGCATAAGAGCGTACGACCTTCGTGCTACCTTGCTTTAGATGTGAAGAGTAGAAATTTACTATAATTAGTTGCTATATTTATATTTATATTTAAATGTAAGTAGAAATATTTATGTATTTATTGAGTGTAGATAGAAACTTACTGTATTTGAGAGTGCTCTTATAATAAGAGTACTTAAAATATACACTTACGCTTAAAATGTACACTTAAAATGTATACTTAAAATGTATACTTTACACATAAGACTTATGTGTAAAGTGTACCTTTCAAGTTTGAAGTACACACTTATTTGACTTATTTATTACTATTACTTATATTTCACTTATTTATTATCATCCAGATATTTATGTTTTCAAAAAAAGCAATATGTCAAAGTTTTAAAAAAATGGCATCATTGGTTATGTTTTCATATATGTCTTCTTAGGGCAAAGGAGGGCGTTAAGATCACTTTTTTTATACTTCTAGATTTTTCTATTGAAATAAATGACTATTATGAAGTTCAAAATTTTTTTTTCACAACATATTTTTATACCAGGCAACCACTATTCTGAAAAAAAAGGTTTTCTTATAGTCAGGGTTGAATTTTTGAAACTTTTATATAGTATATAACAGCTATGTGGTAGAAAACACTGGCAATTTGGAAAATTTTGATTGGTGTTTCAGGTAGTACACTTTTAAGCATTGTGCAAGCTTTGAACTTTAGTATATTTATCCAAATGTCAAATAAGAATGTATTGCAAAATTTTGTGGTGACTTGTGTCTAGGAACTAAAATACCCTAAAATTTTGACACCATTGCCCCATAGCTAGATCATAGCTTTCAAACACTAAATGGTTATTATATAAAATTAAAAACCTGTTAATGAATTTAAATATATTATAAAGTAGTATAAAAATATTTTATTGCCTCATTGCCCTTACAATTGGTGGTAGGGGGCAAACATATTGGGTTTTTTTTGTTCCCAGGCTCTAGGCAGTGCAATATTTTTCAAAAATATTTTCATTAGACATAAGATAAACATACTTAAATTTGAAGTTAGCGCCTAGCCTTAAAATGTCATATCTGAAACATCAGATATGACACTTTAAGGCTTGATGTAACTATCTACAGGCATCATTTTGACACCTATAGATAGTTACATCAAGTAACTAGTAATAGTAGAAGTTGTATCAAACAAATAAAAAAGAAAAATTAACAATGAAAATTTTTAAGCTTGATTTTTTACATAGGTTTAGAGCAATTGCCACACTTCCACTCCACTGCACATTGTCTAATTCAGTTATTACAGTACAATTTATAATACCTAATGTTGCATCGCAGCACACCCACTGATCACCTTTATCTCCATAGGCATAATAGTTAGGACATACATTGTAATTGTTGTATCATAATCACTATCATTTTTATGTGTAGGAACTCTTTTTTTTTTATGTATTTTTTTCTTTAACTTTTTTTTTTCTTTTTTTCTTTTTTTGAAGTTTTTGTTTTTTTTAAACATGCGTCTAATGTTAAACTTTCACCATAGAAAAACCATAGAAACCACCATAGAAAAATAAAATAACTAAAGCAGATCTACAATAAGAGGTCTCTGCTCATTTTGACTGTAATTATTTTAGAAAAAAATCTTTGATAGATGAGCCTTTTGAAGATAATTTAGAAATGGGTAACAATGAAGCAGATGATATTGATGTTGAAAAGAAAGCATCATTAACAGAAATGAAAGTTAGGCATTGAACAAGCTATGAAAGTTAGGCATTGAACATGATTTTGTCATGTGATTAGTGGTGAATGCAGGTTTCTTTACTGGTAACTGAAAATATCAATTAAACAACCGTGTGTCAATAGCATCCTTGTTTAGAGGGGAAAAGCCAGTTCCTTTAAAATCACTTTTGATTTTTCCACAGGAAAGGAACTCTGAAAAAGGGTGCCTACTAATTCTGGAAAGTGTTTCTTTGAGACTAGTTCATTATGTGTTCTTACATATTTTAGAAGTAAACTTTGCCATTTACTTTTTATGGGTTGAAAAACAGATGTATCTAAAGGTTGAAGAAGATGGGTAAGATAAGCATGAATGCGTAGAAAAACAATATTTTTATTTTATGCCAAATCAATAAGTGGGGAGCTATTATGAAAAATGTGCATTTGTAAGATGCTTTGTATATATTTAAAATATGTTTTGAAACCATTCCAAAAAATGAGGCAACTCCATCCAGCCTTTATTACTAGTAGTATAAACAGCTCCATTAGGACCACCTTTAATCCAATCCATATACAAATATTTTCCTTTGTAGATTTAATATGGCGGGAATATCTGACCGCTAGCAGAGTATGCACAATTTAAAGTAATTTGCTCCCAGCCTGAGCTACCAATGCTCTGTGACACTCTAGCAGCACTTTGTTTTGCTAATACTATTTGTTTCTTTGGGTCAGTAATGAACCCACTTTTATCAGAGTTAAATATTTGACTTAGAAGGTTAATAATTTCTGCATTTCTCAATGTTTTTCAACTGAATTAAACCATATTTTGAAAGTTTTGCCATTTTTTACTTGTCAGGGAGGGCATTAAGAGCAACTTATTTTTAAATAACAGTTTTATATTCTAAATAAAAATATATATTAATATCAATTTAATTTAAAATAATCAAGTTTTCAATTTCTAAATGGTCAAAAATTTTACTTATGTGGGCTATTAAAAACACTGTGACATGAAATTATTTATTACTTTTAAGTTGCTATTTGGTCTTAGTTGTTAAATATTTGAAAAAATTTTCATATAACTTATATCAGAAGAGAACTCTACTATAAGTATTTTTTCTAAAAAGTTAATAAGATTAAAGTTATTTATAGTAAAATCCTGAAGGATCATATGCAGTAAAAATTTATGCTCTATCTAAGGTGCACAAAGTTTGTCAAGGTAATTCTCTACCTTTTTAACTAAATACCTTGGGACATACTACCAGACTGAGATATTTTGCCAAACATTTTTATTTATTTATTGACTAAACATGCTTAAGCAATTTTTTTTTTTAAATGTAACCCAGTACAACCTGTAAAAAAATGTAACCCAGTACAACCTGCTTCATGTCCTGCTGCCTTGTAGGATACGCTTTTTTAGGTAAAGGCTAGGAGAAGTTAACTCCGAATTAAAACACCCCCTGCCTTGGGGCTCTTGGTTGAGTAAAGGCTAGAAATGGTGTCTCGATAAAAATACTCATCTTGGGCAGATGTTACATGCATCCAGCTGCTGTCTTGTAGAAGGCCTCCTAGGCAAAGACTTAAGGGGTAAACAGATTCTATCTGTTGACCAGCCTCGCACCCCTTCCTCATCTATTAGGCTGGTGCAGATGTATTTTTAATACATTGTTTCCAGTTTAGGATGTTGAACGCTGGATCTTCTTGACTCAATGCGTGGGTATTGCTTGTGTCTCTATTTTTACGGCTGGGCAACTCATTCTGTTATCTCCTAGTGAAGGTACAGCTCTAAAACTCAGTTTTGTGGTTCTGAGGCCGGCTGGTAGTCAGGTTTCCCGAACTCTGTGGTAGCTCTCAGAGAGGCTGATTCCATCGACAGCCGAAAAATATCAGAGTACTAACAGTGCCATGTTGCGCATGGATGGTGTCCCTGTTTGTACTTTTGGTGTGCATTGCAGAGGCCACATTTGGAGCCCTTTGTTACGGCTTAGGGTTTATTAATAGTAATGAGGCTATTGCTTAGTTGTTAAATAGTGTACTGAGTACTATCTATACTTGAGTCAAGTTCTTTATAAATTTAAAATGACTAAAGTACCTAAAACTAAAAAACACAAAAAACCATTGTCATCACCAAGTTCTCTAAACCTATCATTTACTAATATTCGTGGTTTTCGAAGTAACTTTTCTTCTGTTGAGTCTTATCTCTTGCAAAGTTCACCAGACCTACTTGCTCTTTGTAAGACTAATTTGGGTTCGGCCGTCCCATCTTGTGATCTTAGTGTTGATGGTTATCTTCCTTTAATTCGTAAAGACTCCAATAATCACATGCTTGGCCTGGGCATCTACATTCGTAAGAACTCACCCATTTGTCGTGAAACTAGGTTTGAATCTACAGACTATTCATTTATGTGCTTTCGTTTAGCACAACTTCACTCTATCGCCTTTCTCTTTGTTCTATATCGCTCTCCTTCATCCCAAGATTGCACTATTCTTGATGCTATTTCTGATCAAATTGACCAAGCCCTCTCTCTTTATCCATCGGCCAATACCGTCGTTGTTGGTGACTTTAATGCCCATCACACCGATTGGCTTGGCTCTAGTGTCAGTGACTCTGCTGGCGTTAAGGCCCTCAACTTTTGCCTTTCTCAATCTCTAACTCAAATAGTCAACTTTCCAACTCGTTTTCCAGACAACCCTAATCATTTACCTTCTCTACTCGACTTATGTCTTGTTTTGGATCCTAGTCAGTGCTCAATTTCTCCACATTCACCCTTAGGTACTTCTGATCACGGTTTGATCTCTCTAAAACTATTATCAAACTCTTCTACTTCATCAGAATCCCCCTATCATCGTACCACATACAACTACCTTAAAGCTGACTGGGACTCTTTCCGTGATTTTCTTCGTGATGGCCCTTGGGTAGAAATCTTTCGTCTTCCTGCTGACAAATGTGCTTCTTACATAACTTCGTGGATTCAGGCTGGCATGGAATCTTTTATTCCCTCTCGACGATTTCAGGTCAAGCCTCACTCTTCTCCTTGGTTTTCCTCACATTGCGCTGCAGCAATTTCTAATCGAAACCGTTACTTCCATATCTATCAGCAAAACAATTCTCCAGAAAACAGACATCTGTTCACTATCGCCAGAAACCATTGTAAAAAGGTTTTGTCTGACGCCAAAGCTCGCTATTCTCAGGTCATTAAATCTCGTATCTCATCACAAAAATTAGGCTCTCGAGACTTCTGGAGAATCTTTAACAGTATCAATAATAAGGGCAAATCTGTTATTCCTTCTCTCTTGTATGGTTCAGACTTTGTCACCTCACCTAAAGACAAAGCTGAATTGTTTGCTAAGAACTTTTCATCAATATCATCTCTCGATTCCACTAGTTGCGTTTTACCTGACATAGCTGTCAAACAGGTTGATCCCTTGCTTGACATTCGCATCACTTCAGCTTCTGTATCAAAAGTAATTTCCTGCTTAGACTCTTCAACAGCTTGTGGTCCTGACAACATTCCTGTTGTAGTCTTGCAGAGGTGTTCTCCGGAGCTTTCATCCATACTTTCAAAACTATTTAACAAGTGCTTATCAGAGTCTTGTTTTCCATCATGCTGGAAAGCAGCATCTGTTATCCCTATTTTCAAAAATTCTGGAGAGCGATCTGATTTATCTAACTACGGTCCCATTAGTCTTCTTCCTGTCATAAGCAAGGTTTTTGAATCTTTAATCAACAAACACTTAATCTCTCATCTTGAATCAAATAACTTACTTTCTGATCATCAATATGGATTTCTGTCTTCTCGTTCTACAGCTGATGTGCTAACAGTAATAACCGATAGGTTTTACCGTGCATTAGATAGAGGTGGAGAGGTTAAGGCTATCGCACTTGACATTTCTAAAGCTTTTGATAAAGTTTGGCATGCTGGTCTTCTCCATAAGCTTTCTTTTTATGGTGTAGCTGGTAACGTCTTTAAGATTATTGAGTCCTTTCTTTCCAATCGTAGTATAAAAGTTGTCCTCGATGGACAACACTCTTCTTCACATCCTGTAACTTCAGGGGTTCCTCAAGGTTCAATCCTTGGCCCTATACTCTTTTTAATTTACATTAACAATCTTCCAGATATTCTCACATCTAAGGTGGCATTATTCGCTGACGACACTACCATTTACTCTTGTCATGATAAGAAGCCTACACTCTCTGATTGCTTGGAGGGGGTATCTGAGCTTGAAAAGGATCTCACTTCTGCTACAGCATGGGGCTCACAGTGGCTGGTGAACTTTAATTCAGATAAAACTCAATTTTATTCGGCCAATTGTTATCGTAATAATTTAGATCTTCCTATATTTATGAATGGTAATGTACTAGATGAGTCATCTACCATTCATCTTCTAGGATTAACTCTTACTTCTGATCTTTCTTTTAAACCATATATCAAATCCATTGCAAAATTAGCATCTGCTAAGGTTGCATCTCTTTATCGAGCTCGACACTTTCTTACTCCAGATTCTATTCTCTATCTCTATAAATCTCAAATCCGTCCCTGTATGGAATACTGTTGCCACATCTGGGGCGGATCTTCTAATGATGCTCTTTCTCTTTTAGACAAGGTGCAAAAACGAATTGTAAACATAGTTGGACCTGCTCATTAATCATCAAGTCATTAGTCAATCGTCATCTTGCTCTACAGATTTAGTCTTTTCTCTTCCAGTAACTTCCAACTCTTATAGTGGTTGCTTGCAGCCTTGTTGGAAGTGAAGATGTTAAAAAAAAAAAAAAAAAAAAAAAAAAAAAAAAAAAATTATTTTCTTTGTTAATGATTTAATGCAAGTAATAAAGATGTTTTAAAAAAGTTTTTACCCGCTGTAATCTAAGTTTTTTTTTATGCAATAAAATTTAATAATCTTTATGCAAAATAACTTTTTTTGTTGATTATATTTGGGACCTGCCTAATCTTCAAAGGTCTTGAGCAACTCCTGAATATAATTTTTTAAACACAATTTTTAATCCACTGTTATTGTTATTATTATTACTATTATTATTGTTATTATTTTTATTATTGTAATTTTTATTATTTTTATATTATTGTTGTTTTTATTATATTATTGTTATATTATTATTATTATTGTTATTATTATTATTATTATTATTGTATAGGTTGAGCGGCACTGCTTTGCTGAGAGAACCGAATGATTACTTTTTTTATACAAAACCCAGCATCTTAGGTTTGATTTAAATAAATGCAGTCTTGGGTTAAGTTGATCAGAAGGAAATAAAAATATTATTTTATCTGCACTTATGGAGTGTAACATATCTTACATTATCTAAGGTAATCATCATACTGATTATATATACTTTCACATGAATTTTGGCTTCAGTAAAACCATTAAGCTAATAGGAGACTTTTCTATTTTATAGAAATAGTTTAAAAAGGTTTTGTAAAAGCAATTAATATTTTGATTATTATCAAAATATTGAATTCACATCTTATAAATGTAAACTTTGAATGGAAAAATATTATTTTTAAAATAGCAATGATAAATTTATTCAAATATGAAAAATACCACTAAGGTCTATATACTAACCTTTGCTGGGAAAATGGTTGAAATAATTATAAAAATGCAAAATAAAAAGTAAATGTGAATTACAATAATTATTGAATTATTTAGAAACACAATTTAAAATGTCAACAAAAATATGGGAACAAATAAAGTTGATTGATGTTACTTGTGCCAACATTTTAAAAAGTAAGTTTTTTTTTTAAGTTTAATTTTTAACAAACTGCTTTTACTTTTAAGTAAAGAACAATCTATCTAAGTTTAGTTTTACACCACTTTGTTTGCTAATTAGTTTTAGAGAAATATTTCAACTTAATATTATGAAGGCTTGACTTAAACATTTACACAATTTTTTTTTTTTTTTTTTTTTCAATAAATAACTTTGGTTTGGAAAAAGAAATTATTTTCTTTTTAAGATTTTGATCTTTGCAAGGATGAAGACCTAAAATGGATTTGTTTTGAAGATTTAAAGACAACTATATTTCCAGGAGAAAGTGGTAAAGTAATTGTTCAAAGGGGTAAAGTTTGGAAAATAATCTCAGCAAATAAAGTATGTTCAATTAATATTTTTTTTCATAATTATATTCTATGTTAGATACAAGAATTTTTAGGTTTTAAAGATAGTTAACTTTAATATACTCTTTACCAGTTTTGTCTTATAACTATTTTATGCTATTTTAAACTAGATCAAAGTTTATTGTTAGATTTCAACTTTTGTCAAATAATGTTTTAGTGTTAACATGTTATGACCTTGTAAAACTTTTTACATTCCCATTTATTTACAACCTCTATAAATTTGAAGAAGCAAAGAAATTTTCATTATCTAGACAAACTAGGTTGTATAGAGAAAGAAGTTGATTTGCCTTAATAAGTTAAATTTTTTTATTTTCTTATAAAAAAAATTGTAAAGTACTCTTGAAAATTTGTTTGTTCCATGTAAGTCTCAATTTAATTCTCTGTCCCATGACTCTATCCCAAGGTTGCATCTCTTCTTCTCTTTTACAAATCTATCATTGTTGCTGCTTGAGCAAGCTTTTATCTCTTGTTCCATCAACTAAAGTGTAATTTTTATTGATAGTAAGTCCAAGCAATTGCTTGGACTATTAAATAGTGTACTGAGTAATATCTGTGCTTTGAGTCAAGTTCTTTAACAAATCTAAAAATGACTAAAGTATCAAAAACTATAAAACATAAAAAACTATCCTCATCACTGAGTTCTCTAAACCTATCATTCACTAATATTCGTGGTCTTCCAAGTAACTTTTCTTCTATTGAGTCTTATTTCTTGCAAAGTTCACGAGACCTACTTGCTCTTTGTGAGACTCATATGAGTTCAGCTGTCTCATCTTGTGATCTTAGTGTTAATGGTTATCTTCCTTTAATTCGTAAAGATTCCAATAGTCACATGCTTGGCCTGGGCATTTACATTCGTAAGAATTCACCCATTTGTCAGGATACTAATTTTGAATCCACAGATTATTTATGTGCTTCCATTTAGCACCATTTCACCTTATTGCCTTTCTTTCTGTTCTATATCACTCTCAAGACTGCAACCTTTTCAATGTTATTTGTGATCAAATTGAACTTTCTCTTTATCCTTCAGCCATTATCATTGTTATTAGTGACTTTATTGCTTATCATGCTGAATAGCTTGGCTCTAGTGTCAGTGACTGTGCAGTCACTGACACTAGAGCCACTTTTGATTCCACTAAATGCGTTCTACCTGATATAGCTGACAAACAGGTTGATCCATTGCTTGACATTAATATTACTCCAGCATCTGTACTTTAAGTGATTCCCTGCTTAGACTCTACAGCTGGTTTGCTAACTGTGACAACAATAGGTTTTATTGTGCATTAGATAGATGTGGAGAGTTTAAGGCCGTCGCTCTTGACATTTCTAAAGCATTTGATATGTCTTTTAAAAAGCTTGAAAAAGATCTCACTTTTGCTACAGCATAATGCTCTCAGCGGTTGCTGAACTTTAACTCAGATAAAACTCAATTTTTTTCAGCTAATTGTTATCGCAATAATCTTTATCTTCCTATATTTGTAAACGGTAATGTACTTGATGACTGATCACCCTTCATCTTCTAGGATTAACTCTTACTTCCGATATTTCTTGAAAACCATATATCAAATCAATTGCAAAATTAGCATCTGCTAAGGTTGCATCTCTTTGACATACTTGCCACTTTCTTACTCCTGATTATATTTTCTATCTCTATAAATCTCAAATCCCATGTATGGAATACTGTTGCCATATCTGGGGCAGATCAATAATACACTTTCTCTTGAAAACAAGGTGCAAAAATGCATTGTAAACATAGTTGGATCTGCTCTTGCAGTTGTTTTACTCTTTAGTTCTTTTATTTGCTTTCTAGTAATTTCCTACTTAAATATTTTCAGCTTTTTTTTTTTTAATTTAAATTTTGTAAAATGAGTTTATACATATAAGTAATATACAAACACAGGAACAATGGCCAAATGAATAACCTACAAAAAAAATTTATAAGAATTTTAATTTAAAAAAAAATATAATAATGTATCAGATAACAATATGTTATGAATTTTTGTTTTGATAGTTACATAGTATTTTTATAGTAAACAGCTGACTTAAATAAACATTTCAGTTTGTGTTATTGGTGTATAAAGGAATAACGTATCATCAATTGTTTAAAAGTAAACATTAGCCTCACATTTATTAATTATATTTTTAAATTTTTCAGATTTTTATTGTTGTAAATAAATATAAAACATTAAAATACCTTAAGTGTAAGAAGTATTGCAAATATGTTTTGAAAATTCAAAGAATTAAGCGATTTTGTTTGTATGCATACTAAATAGTTTACTTAAAATAGTTTTCTATTTTGAGAATATCAATTTTATTTACAATATTGTTATTTAGATATCTTTATTTGTTAAGCAAATATATTTATTTTGCTTGTTAATCATTGTTCTTTTAGTTTTTAATATTGTAAACAAATTTCAGCCTCAAAATAATATGGATAAAAACTGTCTAATATTACCTAATTTGATAAATTTAGGTTTAAATTGATCACGAAGCGTTTTTAAAACATCAAAGTGTTTATTGCAATTGAAAATTAGGTTTAACATAATTAAATTAGTATTTTTTTATGTTTTTAAAACACAATTATACAAATATACAGAGGTTACTTACTTTAAACATCAGCTAAAATTTTTATAAACAGATTTGAATTGATTTTTAATTGAAAAAAACCATGGGCAACAGTAGGTTTTCAAAAGTAAGGAGAATTAAAAATTTTAAAACTATAAACATGATTGATGCCCATTCTATGGTGCAATTCTAAATTAAAGATTTTAAAAATATACTGACTTTTTTTTGTTATAGGTCCCAATTGCGCTTTCTTCCAGTTGCATCAGTGTTGATGAACCTACTAATTTGAAGGAATTATTTCAAGAGGTCAGTTTTTCTGTTTGAGCACAATAATATAAGTCCTGTATTTCAAAGAATAAAATTATTTACTGATTAGTATGGAATTTAAAAAATCAATGGCTGAAAATATTTTTCAGACTTAAAAATACTTTTAGGTAATCAATGTCAAGCAATAGGTAACAGGCTCCCACCACACTATACAAATGTTTTTTAGGCCGATACCGATGTCAATACCAATAAATTAACTAATTATTAGAATTTTAAATATATAAAACCATAAAATATTAAAACTTTAAATCGTGTAATCTTTTTCATGGAATCAGTATTGGTACACAAATACTTGGACCCAAATCAGAGTCAAACGATTATTTTAAACATATTAGGAAAACTCAGTTAAAAATATACATTATTTGTTTTTTTTTACTATGAAAGGAAACAATATGATAATGGTTGGAGGTGGGCTGCAAGACCAGGTCCAACTATGTTTACAATGCGTTTTTTCACCTTTTCTAAAAGAGAAAGAGCATCATTGGAAGATCTGCCCCAGATATGGCAACAGTATTCCATACAACGACAGATTTGAGATTTATAGAGATAAAGAATGGAATACGATGTAAGTGTCAAGCACAATAAAAAGATGCAACCTTAGCAGATGCTAATTTTGCAATCGATTTGATATATGGTTTCCAAGAAAGATCGGAAGTAAGGGTTAATCCTAGAAGATAAAAGGTAGATGACTCATCGAGTACATTACCATTCATAAATATAGGAAGATCTAAATTGTTGCAATAATGATTGGCTGAAAAAAATTGGGTTTTATCTGAGTTAAAGTTCACTAGCCACTGTAATCCCCTATGCTGTAGCAGAAATGAGATCCTTTTCAAGCTCAAATCCCCTCTCCAAACAATCAGAGAGTGTTGGCTTCTTATCAAGACAAGAAAAAATTAGATATCTAAATTATTTTTAGGTAATTAAGTAGTTTTTAGAATATTTTAATTTTGTGATGTTTGATTCCCACCACGTCTCTTGTAGTACCGCATTCAACTTGTTTCTCAGCCCAGGAGCCTTGTTTGTCAAAGTTTGTGTTTCGGAGTTATAAAGTTGAGAGAGGGTTGTAGCCATAACTAAAGTAACCTCCTCGACTGGAGTGGCCTTTATGGCTTTGGGGAGGTGAATTAAAATAACAATAATAATAATGGTAAAGAAATATAGTAGACTATACTAGAACACATATAGATAACAATGATTAAATAGTTTATTTTTAAGTATAAAAATAGAACAACACAAAATAAAACTATTCTAAAAAAAAAAAATGGTAATAAAAGTGTAAATACATTCAGCTGTTAATTTAAAGCTTATAAATATCATCTTAAGAATAAACAATATTGCCTGTAAGCAAAGTCAGAATAAACAATATCTCAAAAAAATTCTGGGTAATGCATAAAGTTTAGTTTATTTATTATTTAATTATTATCATAAAGCAGGATAAAAATATTAAAATGCTATTGATTGAAAAATCGATAAAAAACAGGCCGTAATAGTGCATCAAGTGGCTTATGCTGATGCTGGTTATTTGATACATTACTAATAATTTTTAGTTATCAGCTATATTTAAAAATAATGAATTCTTTTAATTTTCTTTTTCTTAAGGATATGGCAAAAGATAAAGATTGTGTTCCAGAAGTATTAAGTGAGGAAGTCAGTTTTTTTTTTTTAATATGCCAATAATCTCATCTATGTAATAATATGCCAATATATAATAATATGCCAATAATTATATCAAAGCTCATAAGTTATTTACCCTTGAAGCAATTTTAAAATGGTTTAAAAACTTTTTTTTATTTTAAAAAGATTGATTAAAAGATAAAGTTATGTCAATTAAAATTTATTTAGATATTTAAAAAAAGTATTTAGATTTTTTTTTGGTCAGCATTATTTTTTTTAAAAAAAAGAAAAAATAATTTCTTTGCTGTAATAAGTTTTTTGTTGTTGTTTTTTGTTTCATCAAAATGCTTTTACAAATTTAAGTATAAATATTTTTTATCATTTTTTATTTGATTTAGTTTTTATTGTTTTATAGTTTCAATATTGAATACTGCATTAAACTTGGTTTAATATCAATACTTTTTATTCAAAGCAATTTTTTTACTTAATCGCAAAAATTTATATCATAAAACTTATATATGTATATATAATTATATATATATATATATATATATATATATATATATATATATATATATATATATATATATATATATATATATATATTTATACAGGGGCTATTCTGGACCGTTTGCGACAGCGTCGACCGTCTTTGGGCGCTGCTTTGAGCGTTGCCCAAAATAAAAAATGAAGGCCTTTTTTTTATGTTTTTCATGGCAAATATTGTTTTTTGTGAAAAAATGCCGATATTCAGCAATATTTTCTCTGGGACTGGGGGGTACCGTCGCCCAATTTTTTTTCCCTAGAATAGCCCCTGACGATGCCTTGCACCAGGGGCTATTCTAGATTGTTTTCAATAGCGTTAACTGTATTGGGCGCCACCCAAAATACACAACCCTAAAGACAAGCCCCGTTCTTTGTTTTAAAACTATGGTAATTTTCAGTTAAAAAGCAACAAAAAAATGGCAATGAGTTACATATGTGTCATTTACTGTCATTATTTTGAAATAAAATCAACATGTCAATGCACAGCTTGCAAATCATATACTTATTTGTCAATCTGACTCAGTGTTGTTCTGTGCTATGAACTAAATAATATACCAAATTTTGAAAAAATGGAAGTAAAGTATTTTCTAAATGAGTTTTTTCATTGTCCTAGTGTTTTTTTTGTCAAAATTAGGATATTGCTGTCTGTGACTTTCTACACCCTTTCAGCAGCCATGCTCTTTGTTGCAGATCACTGTTAATTATGGTTGCAAATTCTGAAATCAGTTTCACTCCTCTCTCTGCAGTATTGTTTATGACCTTTACTGTACAAACAAATTTCTCAGTTTCTTGGTAACCTGGATGCCCTGTCCACTGGTGAATTGGTCTAGCAAATCTGTGTTGATACCAAGAATTCTGAACAATGTGTGGGATTCAAGTGCCAGAAGATTTGCCAAACCTGTTTGACATGTGATTTTATGAAAAACCGGTTTTCCATGACGAAAACTTTCTGGCACTGGAGTTTCCAAGAGTTTTGCAGCCATCTCCAGGATGAAAAATGTTTACTGAAGAAAGCAAATGGAACTACCTCTGATTGTTCATTTTTGAAAGAATAACATCAGTAACTTCCTTGTCTATTTCTTTAAAATTCATGATGTTATGAATGAGCTGCAGATCATTGAATGGCGCATCAGCACCAATGCTTGCTTTTGTCCAAAGTTGTATGTGGAAAAGTAAAAGAAATTGAATCATTCTAAAATGTTTGATCTTCATCTCCTTGTCATATGGCATATGTCTTGAAAACATGAACATTTTGCCAGCATAGATGTTACAAACCATCCTCCGTGCTTGATGGATGGCTCCTGGTTTCAGAAAATTTACACCACATGGGGGAGTTTTCCCAAATATGATGGATGTGTTTTCAGCACATTCATGATAGTTGTCTCTTGAAAATGTTGTAGCATTTTCGTTTGCAAGTTGATGTGCAAATCAGGGTTCATGGCACTCAGGGAAAACCTGGAAAACCAGGGAAAAGATTTTAAAATTTAGAAAATCAGGGAATACCTGGCAAAGTCAGGGAATATTTGTTAAAAATCTGTAAAATCAGGGAAAACTCAGGGAATATTTTTCAGTTTTATATTTAGCTTGAAGTTATTTTGCAAAATACACATTTTAGGCGTATATTGTTATTGAAAGTTGCTTACTAAAGTGGTTTTTAAACTTTTATGTTATATAGTAACTATATATTTAGCTCAATGTATAAATAAAAATAATAATGTAAGACAGAGAAGACTTCTTTTCAAGAGGATTGGTTATAACAAGATATTTATAAAGCTTGGTTAGTTTCCGACGCACATGCAAAAACAAAAGATCATTGCAAAAAAATGTAAAATATTTCAGTTGTTTTCCTTGTTGGTTCGTTGCTTATATTGTTATTTCAAACTTTGCAAGCTAAACAGATTGAGAAAAAAGATGAAAAATGTTAGACATTTTTAAAACTTAAATTTTTAGTTATATATTTATCTTGTTTTAGGTAAGAAGCATCAGTCTGCTACAGCCTGTCTGTTAGTTGTTTCTTTATTAATGAAAAAGACATGACAGGCTGAACCACTTTGAAGTATTATTAGAAGTTGCAATGTAAATCCATGATGCTTTCAAAACAGCTATTGAATCAACAACATGGAATATTAAAGAAACTTTAAAAGGGTGTTGGCATTTCTTCATGATAGCCCAGTTAGACGTCAAGATTATGAAACAGTCATTGGTGCAACATAATACCCTCTCTTTTTTTGCGGAATAAGGTAGGTTGAAAGTAAATCTGTTGCAGATCGTTGCATTGAAATCTGGCCTAATATTTGTAAGTTGATTGAGTTTTTGGAAAAGTTACCATCTTCGAAACAACCTAAATCAAAAAGCTTTTTAAATGTAAAAAATGCTGTTAAAGACAAACTTATTATTTTAAAATTAGAAGTTTTCAACTTTGTTGCAAGCATATTAGAGCCATATTTGTTGGCATACCAAACTGACAAACCAATGATTCCATTCATGTATAGTGACTTTGAAAGACTGTTACGAACCATACTGAGCTTGTTTGTGAAACAAGATGTTATTGATAATAGTTGTATTTCAGTTCAACTAAAAGAAGTTGATTTTCATAAAAAAGATAATCTACTTGAAGGAAATCAAATCAAACCAGGGTTTGCAGCTAAAACAAGACTGGCTTCTTTACGAAAGAAAGATATAATAACCATTGCTGATATTCAAAGTTTTCACAAAGATTGCACTATCATGTATGTTCGATTGATTGAAAAGTTCGAACTCCACTAGGATCTATCATTGTACGCAATTCTCATGTTCTTAACCCAAAATCAATGGTAGCAATGACTCCAGAAGATGCTGAGAAGAAGTATAAATCTTTATTGACCCACTTGATTAGCTTGAAATATGTTTCACCAATCTTTTTTGATAAAGCTATAAATCAATTTGCGGATTTCTTTAGAGAATCAAGGGTTTATCAAGACATCTTTCATGAATTTAATTGAAAAAGAGATAGCTTAGATGACTTCTATTTTAAAAAGTTTAACCTAAATAAATATAAAGAGTTTGCATTGACTGTTAAAATATTATTGACACTAAGCCATGGACAAGCCTCAGTTGAGAGAGGTTTTAGTATAAATGCCACAGTACTAGAACAGAATTTAAATAAAAAATCAATAACTGCAAGACATTTAGTCAAAGATTATATGCTATCAAATAATCTTCAGCCACATAATATTGAAATTACAAACAAAATGATCATCAGCGTAAAATCAGCACACGAAAGATATAGAAGCTACCTAAGTTCAATTGCAGACACTAACAAAAAAGAAGCAAGTCATTTGGCAAAAAAAGTTGTTAGTTGTTAAATATATTTCTTTTAGTTATTGGATTAATTTGGCTTTGTTTCTTGTTTAAAACACCTTTTTTTAATAAAAAATCTTCCTTTAACGGACTGCTATAAATTAATTAAAGATAGTCTCTGATTTCTTAAAAAATAATGATAAAAAGTATTTAGGGAACAAGGATTCAGTTGCAAAAGTATTATATTTTCAACATTGACAGGCAAAATATTTAGACTTTTTATCCCATGAACTCAGGGAAAAAATACTTGAAAATCAGGGAAAACTCAGGGAAAATGGATTTTCAAAACTGCCATGAACCCTGCAAATGCTTTATAGTCTGTTCTTTGATGGTTTTGAACCAGGTGTCTTCAATTTCTAAAGTTTCAATTGGCAATTCTTTATTTAATGTTAGCCAAGAAGCTTTATAATTAGCGAAGAACTTATTTTCTGGTCCAAAGATAATTCCAAACAATTTCTTCCAAACAGCTCCAAGTTTCCACCAGCTGCTTTAATCACCACAGAAACAATCATAGTTGACTGATTATTGTACAGCCTCAGCCTGTCAGCTGCTGATGTAGTTTCTTCACATTGCATAATACTTTTGGGTATGTGAAGAATAACAAATTCTGATCACCTATTCATTGGAGGTTCATAATTCAAGTCTCACCTTATACCTACATCTACTTCCATAACAGCAATTGCAATATCCTGATCACTATTTTGTTCTTCATCATTGACCATATCTTCATTATCCTGATCATCCAGTCTGCCTGTTCTACTCTTTCTTTTTCTTTATCGCTTAGTATCGATTTCCAATAGTATCTTACTGCTTGCAATTGTGCCTTGATCTCAAAAGACATTGAAAAGTCAAGACTTAGATTCATCAAGACATAAGACCTTTAATAATAACAGAAAACTTACAGGTTTCTTGTATTGTTAAAAATAAAATGAACCATTAAGAAATGATACAAGATCATCTGTGAAACTAAGAATATCATGCATATAGCAGGCATGCTAAGCTTTTTTTTTTTTATCATCACTTTTCAAACAACTAATCAGAATTTGGCTCATCAACACTGATTATATTCAAACAATAATTAAATGATTAATTTAATAAAATAAGCAAGGGTTGTTAATCAAAGCACTATTCTTTGTTAGGCATAAATCATTTTTGACTTCTAAAGTTAAAAAATATATTTTTATGTTATTTCGAGCTTAAAAGAAATCTTTTAATATGCATGTACTACTAAATAATTATCATTAAATAAAAAAAAAAAGGTTTTCATACTACAATTTATAAAAAGTTTTCATATTATTATATTTTGAATTAAAATTATAATTTATTTAGATTTTGTTTTTTAAATCTAAGTAACTTTTTGTGTGAAAATTCTCTGTTAGTTTACGATACGAACTTGTTGTTTATGATACGAACTTGTTGTTTGTTTGCGATACAAACTTGTTGTTTGTTTACGATATAAACTTCTTGTTTGTTTATGATACCAACTTGTTGTTTGTTTACAATACGAAATTGTTGTTTGTTTACAATACGAAATTGTTGTTTGTTTATGATACCAACTTGTTGTTTGTTTACGATAACTTGTTGTTTGTTTACAATACGAAATTGTTGTTTGTTTACGATACGAACTTGTTGTTTGTTTACGATAGGAACTTGTTGTTAGTTTATGATACGAACTTGTTGTTTGTTTACAATACGAACTTGGTTTTTAAAAATTACTATTTATAGTGCTAATAATTTAAATTGCATTATCCTAACTATTTTTTATACTTATCATAATAAATTTGGTAATAGTATTGTATATAACTACCCCGTATTGTAATAGAATTTATTTTAAGGAGGTGATGCAAGACACAAGAAAAGATGCTTCTGAGGAGTCTTGTGAGGAAGTTAGTTTTTTCAACAAAACAAATAAAATACTTTTTATAAATTGCAATTCCTTATGTTATTTATAGTTATTTAAAAATTTTATAATTACTTTATATTTTGTTTCTTTTTTTCTCAACGTAAATAAATTTTTTTCAAAAAGGAGGTAAGGGAGATCAAGATAGAGTATGACTCAGAAGAATCAAGTAAGGAGGTCAGTTTAAAAATTTTAAATTATTATATATATTTAATAAAACAAAGAAGTAAGGAGGTCAGTTTAAAATTTTTTTGTAGATATGCAGGTAATTGAAGTCTTATTCCTTGTAGCGACCTTGTCTTTCAATCTTTTGAACTTTTAAGGTTGAGAAATGCTTGTAGCTATTTTTTTTTTCCTATTAAATTAACCTCCCCAAGGTTTCAGAGGAGGTCATTGTAGTCAAAGAAGCTCATTTATTTTTTTCATTTTATTTGTGACTCAACTTTGAACTACAAAATAAAAACCTTTTTAAACCAGTGCATGGAGAAATAAGTTGAGTGTGGTATTTAAAGAGGCACCAGCTGAATTTTAGGATTATCCAAAAAATCAAGTTTTGGAATTTCTGTTTTCCACAAGGCTTATCTTGTTTTCATATAGTATTGGAGAATTTTTGTAAAAATTTGAAACAAATTAAACAATATTTAGGGGTCAATAAAAATTTTAATTTTTCAAATATACAGTCAAAAGATCATTAGATCCTAATTATAATTCATTAGAAAAAATACTGATTGTTATAATACTGGTTTCAAAAGTACTACATTATTTTAAGTACTGCACAAAAGTTTTTAAGTATAATATTTTAAGTACAATGCACAAAGTGAAAAAGTTTGTTCCAACATAGCAAAGTCTTTCTCTAAATCATCTTCTACTATCATAGCTGCCTAAGAGGAGAATGGATAAATTTAAAGATGTTCTGCGCAATCATTGCCAATCATCATCTTGGTAGCACCATAATAAGAAAGCCAAAATGCTAGATTTAAATTTTTTTATTTTTCTTAAAGTATCCATAGCATTCTTGCTTTCTTAATAAAATTTGAGTATATATCAACTTGTTCAAAAGTTAAAAATGATGAAAAAAACTTTTTTGCTTGAAGAGTGAAATTTTGGTAGCAAGCATCTTATTCCCAGACTTCTGAATTTTTCAACAGAAAACTCCCTCAACAGAAAGCTTCCTCCTTTCCTGTAATACTAAGCATTTGAAGAAATGAAACTTTCTCTGGGTCACAAACTTTTTAAAACTGTTGAAGTCTGCACCTCACGTGCTTATACTCTTCAGAGCTGTCTGAGTCTTTGAAAGCTAGAGAGACTTGATTGTCAAAGAAAGCTAGACCCACAAGGTGTTTTGCGAAGAACCGTAGATATCGAGTAAATGTTGTGTGGGCCGCACCAGCAGTTACAAATATGATTTAGATATTTCTTGAGAATATTAAGCATCATTGCATCATTCAAAGGGGCATGTGAAGCAAATGGAGCTAGAAACATCCAAATATGAGAGAAACCAAGAGCACCATCTCCTTCAGACCTTCCTTTTCTTTAGCAGTCAATTCCAACTGGCCTTCAAATAGTACCATTATCAGGCTTCCTCAATAAAAACGCATGCTTCTTGATAGATGTGTTTGTTACTGGAAATTTTATCAAATATCAGAATTGAACTTTTTCTTGTATATTCCAGTCATCTAGTACTCAACCCTCGGAATTAGGGTTGGCATTCGGCAATGCTGACCTAACTGCCAACCTTAAAGTGTTTGAGGTCAGCAAAAAAATTACCGACCTCTTTTATATGTTTTATAGTAACCCCTTTGTATCAAATTTTTTTTACCAACCTTATGCCGACCTCTAACAGTTTGAGGTCAGCAATTTATTGCCGATCTCATTTTTTCTAATTCCGAGGGTTGAGTACTTTCAGGCATGAAGCAGTTCTTTGTTCTTCCCCAGTTCCTTTTCCAATTTTTAGGACTGCCAACAACTTCATATTTCCATTCCCTGTGATGCAGTTTCCTATCCGATTATCTTTTTCCGGATATTTTCTTCAACTTTTAGTTTTTCTGGATATTTAAAACATTTTCAATACATGCAAGTTGAGGTATATATTTGTAATATATTTGTTTTTTAAGCTTTTTCACTCATCACTCATATAAAAAATATGAAAAGTGTCAAAAAAAAATTAAAAACAACTTAGCTAAAAGCGAAATTAAAAAGAAAATAAGGAATAACAAATTCCGGATTTTTTCCAGATATTTTATTCAAACAGTTTTCCGGATTTTTAAAATATGACTAGGATGATCTATGTTATCACAATTGAAATGAAAAGAAAATTCGGTTAAAAAGGAACTCTTATAAAATCAGAAATAAATTATATAAAAATTTTTTTAAATATCTGCAAAGTTGCTAAAGTTTATTGCAGCAGTTTTTATTTACACAGCTCTGTGCATTTTTGATCGAAATACTTGACTATCTCTCTCTTTACTGGCATGTGTAAAGAGAGAGATAGTCAAGTATTACAATCCTGTACACCTGCAGATAAGTCAGATCTAAGATTTCATAATGAAACCTTAGAAGCAATTTTATTAGTAAAAAATGAAGCCTTTGTATCAAAGCCAGCAAAAAGTACTAGACTCTAGTTAACCACATTAAAATTATGATAACTAATGCATTAATCACATTTAAATTATGATAAATAATGAATTAACCACATTAAAATTATGATAATGCATTAACCATATTATATCAAAAAGAAAAAGGAGAGGTGAGCATGGATTTTTTCATAAGAAAAAGAAGAGGGGAGCATGGATTTTTTCATAAGAAAAAGAAGAGGGGAGCTTGGATTTTTTCATAAGAAAAAGAAGAGGGGAGCATGGATTTTTTCATAAGAAAAAGAAGAGGGGAGCATGGATTTTTTCATAAGAAAAAGGAGAGGTGAGCATGACTTTTTTCCATCATGAACATTTTATAAAGTCCATAAATGTAACAAACTTTTCTTTTAAACCAAGACTTTCTTGGGTTGTTCTTCTCATCAGTAAAAAGAGTGTTACTCTTTTCACCTATATTTTAAATTTTAATATTATATATTATATTATATATTATTTCACCCATATTTTAGGTTTTAGATTATGCTACCAGTCTGGTATTATAATGTTATTCTTTCAAAACATTCTGTTTTTTATTGATCGATTGAAAAGTTTGTCCTAATAATAATAGGGTATTACTTGATTTAGGTTGGCATCTTTTGACTCTTTTTTGCAAATTATATTTAAATTATTTCCTATTGCATCTTTGTGACTCTTTTTTGCAAATTATAAAGTAAATATAAAAATGAAAATAAAATTTATGAATAGATAAGCTAGATGCTATTGATGATTTTGTCATCTTTTAATTATTAAAAGTTTTTGCTCAATGATTTACTTTTTGTTCTTTTTCTTTTTGCTAAGCATGTTAGTTCGTGTTCTTGCATTTTTAGATTTTTAAAACTAGATAATGTTATACAACTTTGTTGTTTATAATATTTAAAAAAACATATTTTATAAATTTGACTATACAAAACAATCTGGGTTTCGTCAAACATATATACAAAGTAACTTAAATTTCTTTAACTTTTTTTGATTTATGAGAAAAAAGGAGGAAATTTATCAAAGATACCTAGCAACCTTTATTTTTATAAATTTGATGTTTATTCTTAAAATTTTAACAAATTGTCATTGTTACTTGTGCATTTCTAGTAGCAGATATTTAAAAAAAAGTTATAAAAGCTTGAGTTTAGAACTTGCTAGAGAGAACTGTAAACAAAATATTCAATTCTACTTTCTGTACAATGTTGTGATTGGTTCTCACATGTTGCTTATTTATGTTAGTTCATAAAATAATATGAGATTTAGTTTTGATAATTTATTTTTGATAAGTAATATTTTAAATCCTTGTTACATATATATTTTGCTAAAAAGTCCACCAACAACTTTCAAAACAGTCCATTATACTTTTTCAAAGCAATATTTAAACTTTTTCAAAACAACGTTTAAATTTTTTCAAAACAACGTTTAAACTTTTTCAAAACAATGTTTAAACTTTTTCAAAGCAACGTTTAAATTTTTCAAAATAGGGTAAACTATTAACTAAATAGTGTAAACTGGGGTAAGTGAACTAAGGGGAATGTGAACTATTTCTGTAAATTAAAAAATTATCACATTTAAAAAACTTTTTAGTTTTTATTTTAGCATTATTTTCACACAAAATAATTGTGTTTTTTTTTAAATAAAATTTAAAATAAAGTTTTTGTTTTGGTGTGCCAGATGTAAAAATAGAGTTCAGTGGAAGTTTTAAAATTCCATTATTAAATTTTGCGGTTTTAGTAAACTTTGTTGTTAATAATTGTGAATATCAGTTACATTATTTATATAAGTTTTGAAGAGTATAAAAATTATAGTTTAAAGTTAGTAAATAAATTTGAACACTTTACCCCTTATTTTTCTGACTAATGTGGGTAAAGTGAACTTGTCTTTGTGTTGTATTTTTTCATCAAATACCTTTAGTAGAATTTTATATCCATCTTGTACCTAAATTGTATAAAATTATAAACTAAATATCTAAAATTAATAATAAAGATATGCCTTTATATGCTGCATCAAAAAAATTTTGCGTTCCAAGAAATACAATTAAGAGACATCTTCTAGGCACAAGATGCTGAAAAATTAGTGAAGGGAGAACAAACCGATTGTCTGTGGATGCTTTTATCTGCAATTTCTGATTTTGGATTTAGATAGGAAAAAAAAGCAAATAATGAAACTTCAAATATATATAGAAAAAAATAGATTTCAGAAAAGGTTTGTGAATGGTGTTGCTGGTGGTCAGTCGTATCATAATTTTATGAATCATCAGCAGAAAAAATTATCAATATATAGACATTTTTCCAGAGCATTTAATATTAACAAGGGTCTTATCCATTTGGATACAGCATTTAACATTAACAAGGATCTTATCAATATGGGTACAGCATTTAACATTAACAAGGCCCTTATCAAAATGGATACAGCATTTAACATTAACAAGACCTTTATCAATATGGATACAACATTTAAACGTTAACAAGGGCCTTATCAATATGGGTACAGCATTTAACATTAACAAGGGCCTTGTAACTTGCTAGAAACAAAACTGTTTTCTTTACTTAAAGCTACGTTGAAAAAATGTAACATTATGAACAAACCAGCTCAAATACTAAACTGTGATGAAAGTGGGTTTAGCACTAACCCAAGAAATTAACAAATAGTTTGTAAAAGAAGAAGTAAAGGCTTTCCTGGATCAAGAAAAGAACAGTTGGTAAATTGTTCGCAGAACTACTAGCAACAATGTCAGCTGCAGGAAAAAGTTTTTCTCTATTTTTTTATTTGTTAGAAAGAAATTGTATAAGAGTAGATGACTGGTGAACCCAAGGGTTCCTTATATGGGGTGACAAAAAACGGTTGGATGGAAGCAGACGTTTTCACACAATATTTAGACTATATTGTTTTATGGTTAAAAGTTTTCGCATCTGCTAGAACCACTTGATATAAGAGTCTTTTGCCAAGTTAAATTTGTATGGCCTGAAATTTTAGCTAGTTAGTCTACTGAGTCAAAACTGAAAGTGATTAGAAAATCTGTTTTTCCATCTTTTTTAAAAAAACTTTATGATACATCTTTACTCTCAGGTGTCTAATTCAAGAGGAAGGAGGGGAGGGGGAAGGATGGGGGGAGAATTTTAGTCTAGATCCAGTATATGGGGAGGGAGTTTTTTACAGAACACAAATAAAACAATAATTTTTATTTTTTTTTATTTTAGTTTTTTAGTTTTGAGATGTTTTTTTGTTGATAAAAAATAAAAGTTAATAAACGGGGGGTCTTAATAAGCTCACGATGGATAAGAATGATTAAAATTTGTATTTTATACACTCAAGCACAATAAAATTGGTAAATAATGTGTGTATGTAGATAAAAACCTGATTTCCCTAATTCATTTTGTTAGGGTGTAAATTATATTGCAATAATTCTTAAAAAAATATCTGTGAACTTGTCGAAAAATTTATTTTGCCTTTTTCCAATGCAAGCGATATGCATTTTACTGCTTGATGCCTTTTTTATAAACTATAACCTAATTAATTCTTTATTAATTTTTTCTTTTAATTAGTATTTTTACTCAGTGGGCTTACGACGTCGATCCAACGTTGGATTTTTTTTTTTGGTTATGTTGGGCGACATCGACTAAATCTAACGTTGTAATAACGTTGGTTACACTAACGTTATTTTTCATCAGAATTACAACGTTATTTTAATGTTAGTTACACAACGTTATTTTTCATCAGAATTACAACATTATGTTAACGATAGTTATACTAACGTTATTTTATATCAGAATTATAACGTTGAAATAACATGAATTACACTAACGTTATTTTTTTAATCAATATTAAAACAGTATAAGAACGTTGGCTGCACTAACGCAATTATATAAAGAAATATTTTATAATAGCTTTACATTATTTTTAATAAATATTCTACTTTTTTTAACGATTTTTCCTTAATCTGTGTTATTGCGTAGCGCAGCGAATAGCGCGATGAAAGCGAATAGCGCAGCGAATAGCGCGATGTTCTGAGAACGTGAGTATTATCACTTATCATTTTTTATTTTATTATAATGATCATAATGATTATCATCTTTTTTTGTTTAAATAATTTTTAGAAAAAAAAAAGAAGGAAGAGATTTTGTATATTTTGTAAAAGACAATATGCTGCTCTTTCACGTCATATTAAACAAAAACACAAAGACGAACCCAGATTGAAAAACCTAAATAATGAATCCATGAAAAAAGAACTTGAGTTAATAAGAAGGGAAGGAATTATAGCAGTGAATAGAGAAGAAGCAAAAAAAGCTATCCCCGTTTATCAAGCAGAAAGAAGATCTAAGTTTGATTTTAAAAATAATATTGAAGAGCAAGACTTAACAACTTGTCCAAACTGTCTCATAACTTTAAAAAAGAAACAATTTTCACGTCATAAAAGAAGATGTCAATTTTTAAGTTAAAACATTACATTTAACCGCCAGTGTTCATACGCTCTAGTGGATTCTACTATAGACTTCACATTTAACCGCCAGTGTGTATATATTCTAGTAGACTCAGATTATAAACTTCAGCTAGTAGTATAATTTAAAATTTTTTTAAATTTCTTTTGAATTTTTCGAACTTATAAAAAAGAAATATATTTAATTTATTTTTAATTTTATTTATAAGTACGGCAATGTATATAAGTATATTATGTATAAGAAAATAATGGGGTTTTGCAATAAAATTAAAAAGAAAAACATCTTGAAAACCTATACTTCTTCTTGCCTCTTTTTTTTATAATTATTAAGTATTTCTCTGTACATTTTTTTAGTTATTTTTTTAAAGCAGCATTTAAGTATGAGGAAATAATAAGTGAAAAAATCCTTTGTTAAAACTTTTGGTTTTAAGCTTACCTACCCCCAGAAGAGTTAAAAAAATTAATCGACAGGAAACTTCTCCAAAATTTCTAGATGAGCTTTTAAAAATTTACGTTCATTTAAGTTACATGTGTGGTGGACCTCATTTGACTCATAGTTGACTGTATTTTTTAGAACTGCTCTTATATTCTTATGATGGATCTTATAAGATATCACTCATAACTTATATGTAACACGCTCATAATATTAATTTTTTTGATTTCTCTAAACAATGTTTTTTGATTAATTTTAAGATGAAAAATAAGTTTTAAGGTTGCTAATGAACTCTTTATGACAAAAAAAAACATAAAAGCAGCAGATGAAACTGTTTTAATACCGCAGTATAAAAAAACCAGCACCGTCTAGTTTTTTTATACTGCGGTATTTAAATTCAAACATTTTCTCAAAACTGAAAAAAACAAAATTTTCTCAAAAATGGTTGTATAATAATTGCAATAATATATTGTGTAAAAATATATATTTTAACTTTGTAAACTAAGCTGAATGAAGACAGAAGTACCAAAGTGTTATTAGAAAGCTATTATGACTGCTGTTGTCGATGTCCAAAATAATAATTTTTTCATAAAGTGAGTGATTCACGTACTAAGGCAATCGGTCGTCGAATAAATTTCAGAAACGCTATGTGTATTTGAAATTTATTCGACCACCATTATTTTATTAAAGAAAGATTAATATTGCATAAAATATTTTTATACTTGTAAAAATATAACATGACATTAGAGCTGTGCCTGAGATAAATTTTTTTCTTAATCTCGATGCCAAATATTTTCCTGATACCGATACTGCAGATACCAAAAAAGATTACCAATCTTTTTTCTACATGCCAATTTTTATTTTATTAGACCTTCATGTCCTGCTGCCTTGTTGGATACACTTTTTTATGCAAAGACTAGGAGAAGCCACCCTAGCCAAAAGTCTTATAAGATATCCTATAAAAAGAATGTTAAAGATTTTTATAAGAAATTGGAATAAGATTTTTTACAGGATAATGCAGTTAAATACAACCTCTAAAACTTCCTTTAGAATAGGATTTCTAGGAGTTTTATCATATAAGACACCAATTTAGCAATATCCTATAGTTTTACATTTACAGAAATCCTACTCAATTGAGTAGGATTTCTGTACTTATAAAACTATAGGAAACTGTTCATTCGGTGTCTTATAGGCTAAAACATCATATAAGGTTTTGGAACAAGATTAAATAGGATTTCTGTACATATAAAACTATAAGATAATAATATCTTATAGTTTTATATGTACAGATATCCTATTCAATCCTGTTTGAAATCTTATAAGATTGCCATTTGCTGTTGTCAAAGTATATTTAACTAGAGACTTACGTAAGGGGTGGTTTCGGCATATGATATTTAGATGCCATCTTTATAGCGGATAAATGCTCATAAACAAAATCAATCCCAGTTGTTCAGAGAATGTTTTTTTCAATTAAGAAGATACAATGGATAATTTTAAATAAAAAACAATTTTATAAAATGATTTTTAGACCATTGCTCATCTACAAGTTGCACCTTACACAAGTTGCGGATCAAAATATATAAATTTAAACAGTATCCTTTCCGTGCATAAAAATCAAAATAAAAGGCAATAATGACGTCTTGTAGTCTATCATAGTCATATACTTGTTGTATATGACTATCAAACTCATTTACAAAATCTAAAACAACGAAAAACCTTTTATAACTAACTAAACAAAGCCGCCATTTCGTTCATTTATTACCAATGAAAAAGTCATACATTAAAACCGCACGCTGTGGAATTGCGTAATAGGAATGTCCTCTAGGGTATTTCTACATGCATTATATTTTAAGTCTAAAAACAAAAATATGAAAAAAACTAAAAGTAATATATTTATATTAAACTAAAAGTAATATATTTATTACTTTTTTTAGAGAAAATAGTAGTTCTAAATAAGATATTATAAAATCAATACCTAATATGTCCTAAACCTTCTTTGAGTCCAAAGCTAGCTTAGATATACTACCTTCGGCTGAATTATATCGAACTCATGTCGATGAACGATTTGATAAAACCATACCTCCAAAAAACCTCAATTACTAAATCTTCGACAGCTTACCTACTGCTTCCTTAATTAATAGCAGCATGCTGATTTGAAGTCAATTGGGTATTTTTTTCCTATGTTCACCTAAAAAAATAAATATTATATTAGTGTATTTTAGGATGAAATAAGCATATTACTTATTTTTTCTTACATTCATAGCATTTCAATTTTTTAAATTAATATTTAATGATTTAAATTAAAACCTAATTAAATTAATTAGGTTTTAATTTGGTTGAAATTGGCTGGACAAATACACGTTGTTAGTTGACTATAAATTTACAGTATTTTACTTTTATAAAAGCTATAAAATTTAACATGACTTATTAAAGATAATTACTTTCTTAAGGATATTGGTTAATATCTATAAAAGTCCTTTAAATCATCTAGAAATTATATGATTTATATAGGATTACACTATTAACACTATAACAGCTTTATTCTTCCTATTTGAATCGTATAGGACCTATAGGATTGCAATTGCATTCTTATGGATATCATATTAGTCCTATAGGAATCCTATAGCAGCTATAGAATACATATATGAATCCAATAGAACCTATAGGAGTGCAGTAGAAATCAAAAAACCTATAGGATACAAGTATGACCCCTATAGGACCTATGGGGTTGCAATAGAATTCCTAAAAAAACCTATAGGATACCTATAGAAATTATTTTAGTCCTATAACAATTCTATAGGACTTATAAGATTGCAATAGGACTCCTATTGCAGTCCCACAGATCCTATAGGTTTCCTATAAAATCTACGTGATACATACAGGAATCCTTTAGTAATCCTATAGATCCTATCGGAATTTTATAGGATTTATAAAATTGCTATAAGATCTTATAAGATTTTTGACTAGGTAACTTCAACTTAAAACACCCGCTGCCTTGAGGCTCTTGGTTGAGTAAAGGTTAGAGATAGTGTCTCGATTAAAATACTCATCTTGGGCAGACGTTAGATGCATCCGGCAGCTATCTTGTAGAAGACCTCCTAGGCCAAGACTTAAGGAGTAAACAGGTTCTTTTTGTTGACCAGCCTTATATGTATTTATAATACATTGTTTCCAGTTTAGCATATTGAATGCTAGATCTTCTTGATTAATTGCATAGGTTTTAATTGTGTCTTTGTTTTTATGACTAGGCAACTCATTCTATTATCTCCTAATGAGGGTACAACTCTAAAACTCAGTTTTATGGTTCTGAGGCCGGCTGGTATACCAGCCGGCCTCAGAACCATAAAACTGAGAACCATGTGGCCTCATATCTTTGAGAGCTACCACAAAGAACCATAAAACCTCAGAACCATGTGGCCTCATATCTTTGAGAGCAACCACAAAGTTTAGGAAACCTGACTACCGGTAGTCAGGTTTCCTAAACTTTGTGGTAGCTTTCAAAGAGACTGATTCCATCAACAGCTGAAAAATATCAAAGTACTAACAGTGCCATGTTGCGCATGGATGGTGTCCCTGTTTGTACTTTTGGTGTGCATTGCCAAGGCCACATTGGAGCCCTTTGTTACGGCTTAGGGTTTATTATTAGTAATGACGCAATTGCTTAGACTATCTGTGCTTTGATTCAAGTTCTTTAACAAATTTAAAAATGAATAAAGTAACAAAAACTATAAAACACAAAAGACCATCGTCATCACCAAGTTCTCTAAACTTATCGTTCACTAACATTTGTAGTCTTCGAAGTAACTTCTCTTCTTTTGATTTTTATCTCTTGCAAAGCTCACTAAACCTACTTGCTCTTTGTGAGACTAATTTGAGTTCAAATGTCTAATCTTGTGATCTTAGTGTTGATGGTTATCTTCCTTAATTCGTCAAGACTCCAATAGTCACATGCTAGACCAGAGCATTTAAATTCGTAAGAACTCACTCATTTGTCAAGAAACTAGGTTTGAATCCACCAACTATTCTTTTAAGTGTTTTCGTTTAGCACCACTTCACTTTATTGCCTTTCTCTTTGTTTAATATCGCTCTCCTTCATTTTTAGGAACTTTTTGACGTTATTTCTGATCAAATTGACCTAGTCTTTTCTCTTTATTCTTCATAAACATCGTTGATGCTGATGAATTTAATAAGCATTAAAGTTAATAGCTTTGTTCTAGTGTCAGTGACTTTGCAGGCATTAAGGTCCATAACTTTTGCCTTTCTGAATCTATAACACAAATGTAAACTTTCCAGACAATCCAAATCATTTAGTTTCTCTACTCGACTTCTGATTCTAGTCAGTGTTCAGTTTCTCCACATTCATCCGTATGTGCTTCTGATCACAATTTGGTTTCTCTAAAACTATTTTCTCATTCTTCTTCATAATCAAAATCCCTCTATCATTGTACCTTTTACAACTACCTTAAAGCTGACTAGGATTCTTTTCATGATTTTGTTCGTAATGGTCTTTGGATAGAAATCTTTTGTCTTCTTGTGCTTCCTACGTAACTTCTTGGATTCAGGCTGGTGTGGAATATTATATTGCTTTTCGACAATTCTAAGTCAAGCCTCACTCTTCTCCAGGGTTTGCGTCTTATTGTGCTGCTATAATTTCCAATTGTAACCTTTGCTTTAATATCTATAAGCAAAACAATTCACCAGAAAACAGACATCTGTTTACTACTGCTAGAAAGCATTGTAAAAAGGTTTTGT